CCCCATTATATAATATGTAATCTGACCAAGTTTTGATTCTGGTATAAGAAGCTTTAATAATGACCCTAAGAAATGTTAATCAAGGGATATTGTACATGATATTTAAAACAGGAACATGTTAATATAATTTAGGAAAGTTTTGTTGTTATAGGATTAAAATTGATTAAATTCAACTTCTGAATGTTCTTTAGCACAGGGATGTCCACACTCGGTCCTTGAGGGTCGTTGTCCTGCAAAGTTCAGTTCCAACCCTAACACCTGGGCTAGCTAATCAAGCTCTTGCTAGGCCTTCTAGAAACATTCTTTCAGGTGTGTTGAGGCAAGTTGGAACTAAAATCTGCAAGACACCAACCCTCCAAGACCGAGTTTGGACACCTCTGCTTTAGCATATAGCTTGTACTATTAACTATTTACTGTTTGTATTTAAGGCTGATATAATTTAATACAGTTCCAATACAGTTAATTAAACTATATACCAAAGCCTGCATTCTTAAAGGAACACCTTACTACTTTGGTGCTGGTGACTATTTACAGGCACCATTTTGCCTGCTGCAGCCATGGTATGGCACAAAATACTATTTAATATTACACTGGAATAAGATTATAGTTCCTAGCCATATCAGTCTTGTACAAGATGTAACAACATAAGTATAACGGTCTCCAGCATCCTCTAGTTATTACGGAGCTGTTTTGACAGGAGCAGTGATGTTCATGACGCGTCCAAGCATTTATATCTCAAGATTAACTTTATTTTCTTACAAATGCTACAAACAAACACGGTCAAAAATCTGTTTCCCCGCTACTCCTCCCAGCTGATCACCCATCACCTGTAAGCCCTTGCGTAAGCAGGTGAGCTGACGTGACACATAGGTGGAGTTTATCTATATCATTAAACCACTCGATCAGTGAAACAGAATAATACTTTATAATATTATTAATCTTAATTAATCATGCAAAAATAAGTTTGAAGCTTTAAATATGAAAATTATTGAATTCTTCAGTCATTTTTGAGTAAGATGCTAATGGTCTAATCCGATTTAATGATTTATGCTAAGCTAAGCTAAAAGTGCTCCCACCAGACCCGTGGATGATATTTAAAACAATAATATGTTAATATAATTTAGAAAGTTTTGCTGTTATAGCTTTAAAATTGATTTAATTCAACTTTTGAATGTTCTCTTCAGTGTTTGAACTCTCAGTAATGATTAAATCACACTGAACTGAGCTAAACTGAACTGAACTGAACTTAAACACTAAAACCTGAACCACACTGTTCCAGTTACTATGACCATTTATGTGAAGCTGCTTTGACACAATCGACATTGTAAAAGCGCTATACAAATGAAGCTTTTTTAGTGCAGAGGTGTCCAAACTCGGTCCTGGAGAGCCGTTGTATTGCAAAGTTCAGTTTTAACCCCAATCAGACACACCTGGGCTAGCTAATCAAACTCTTGCTAGGCCTTCTAGAAACATTCTTTCAGGTGTGTTGATGCAAGTTGGAACTAAAATCTGCAAGACACCGGCCCTCCAGGACCGAGTTTGGACACCTCTGCTTTAGCATATAGCTTGCACTATTAATTATTTACTGTTTATTTTTAAGGCTAATATAATTTAATGCAGTTTCAATACACATGATGAAGCTATGTACCAAAGCCTGCATTCTTAAAGGAACACTCAACTTTTTTTGTAATATAAGCTCATTCCTGAGTCCCAAAGAGTTAAACAGTAACCATTTTTTGAATACATTTAGCCTATCTATGGATCTGCCGGAAGCACATTTAGCTAAGCTTAGCTTAGCATAAATCAATAAATCAGATTGGACCATTAGTATCTCGCTCAAAAATGCCCAAATGATTCAGTAATTTTCATGTTTAAAGCTCAACTCTTCTGTAATTACATCATATACTAAGTTGATAGAGCTACAAACTATACTATACTATATTATTCTGGCATAATAATAAATTACTTTGGTGCTGGGGACTATTTACAGGCACCGTGGAATATCATTTAGCTTTAAAATTGATCAAATTCAACTTTTGATGTTCTTTAGCATATAGCTTGCACTATGATTTATTTACAATTTTTATTTAATAATAATTTGATTTGACGTATTTTAATACAGATGATACATTTACATTTAGTCATTTAGCAGACGCTTTTGTCCAAAGCGACTTACAAATAAGGACAAAGAAGCAATGAAGCCGTGTACCAAAGCCTGCATTCTTTAAGGAACCCTCCACTTTTTTGGATTACAGGCTCATTACTAAGTCCCTTAGAGTTAAGCAGTAACCATTTTTCGAATCCATTTAGACAATCTATGGATCTGGCAGAAGAACATTTAGCTTAGCTTAGCATAAATCAATAAAACAGATTAGACAGTTAGCATCTTGCTCAAAAATGACCAAATGATTCAATAATTTTCATATTTAAAGCTTGACTCTTCTGTAATTACATCATGTACTAGGCTGATACGGATAGGAACTATACTATAAAATACGATATTACTCTGGCATAGTAATACAATAATATTGTGCCATGCCATAGCTGCAGCAGACCCAATTATATTACGCAGTGCTTGTAAACAGTTCCCAGCACCAAGCCCTACCCCTGCACCACCAGTTAGAGTCTGTGTAATGTCATTGCACCTGCTTTTTCAGATTTTTATTGTCATTAATTTGATATTATGCAGATTGTGGTGGTGCAAGTTTAGGGCTTGGTGCTGGGGACTATTTACAGACACTGTGTAATATAATTTTGCCTGCTGTAGCCATGGTATGGCACAAAATACTATTAATTATTACGCTGGAATGAGAGTATAGTTCCTAGCCATATCAGCCTAGTACAAGATTTAATAACATAAGTTTCAAGCTTTGAATATAAAAATGATTAAATCCTTTAGTCATTTTAAGTGAGATGCTAATGGTCTAATTTGATTTAATGATTTTTGCTAAGCTAAGCTAAAAGTGCTGCTGCCAGACCCGTGGATCGGTTGAACAAATTAAAAAGTGGTAAAACTCAACTGCTTAACTCTAAATGAACTGGCACAAGGGCATATTTAAAAAAAGAGTGTTCCTTTAAGCATTTACATGTTCAGAATAAAAGAAAGATACAGTTTTCAGCATTTTAAAGCATTTATAGCTTGACAGTTAAGCTTGGCTAGACTGGACAGAGCCTTCCTTTGATAACTAAAGTAAAAGTATGCTCTCGCCTACAGCATAGCGATTTGAAAATGATCTCAACTTTTCAGAAGAACCAACCGATCAGCTTCACACGTTGTACGGATTGTTACATGCATTTCAGTAACAACGGTAGACTATTTACCTTAGCTAAACGCAGAGCAGCTAAACATTGTGGCGCTTTTTAATTTCCTCCATAAATATAACAATATATTTCTGTCACCTATAATGACCAGGTAAAAATTTACAAATGACTTGAAAGTTTGAAAAAGAAATGTGGTGATTATTAAATAAATTAAATCACATTTCAGCATTGTATTTCTAGCTGTTTTTTATTTTCTCCTTATTTTTCTCCTTTAATCAGTCATATCTTTGATTGACATCTCACAGAGCTCTACAATTATTAAGCTACTTCAATGACACCTCACCTTGTGAAAGCTTACTTCAACACATGAGAAACAATAGCAAAACAATGAGTAGCTGATTCCTGGATGTAAGATTAACCTGGACCTTTGTGTGTGTGTGTGTGTGTGTGTGTGTGTGTGTGTGTGTGTGTGTGTGTGTGTGTGTGTGTGAGAGAGAGAGAGTGTGTTTGATGGCTGCTGTCAGTTACTGTAAGTACTGTATTGGCTGAACTTTAGCACATGTCGTGCATGGTTTACTTATGTGAACTTCAGGATGGACTAGAATGGAAAAAAATGCGTTTTGTTTCAGTGATTTTAGTTACCAGTTTAACCAGAGATCTGGTCTGATTAAAACTGAGTGATTCTCCACTGCACACAGTTCAATGTGTCAGAGTGCAAATGAGTCTGGTGTGCTCATGGGTAAATGATTATTTTGAGTGTGTTTGTGTGTGTGTGTGTGTGTGTGTGTGATGAAAGTCAGGAAAAGAAGAGAATAGGTATGTGGACATTTAAAGGACATATATCCCCCCCCTAAAAAAACGTACATAATAAATAAACATAATTTGTTTATTATTTTTAGTAATTAAATTTATAGATGTGTATTTATTTATTAGTGCTTTTCTTTGAAAAAGATTTAGGGAATATGTTTTAGGTCTGAAAAATGACAAGAATATCATAATATTAAAATTAAATCAGTTTATATGACTCATAAAGTATACTGGAATCCTATTTCACAGTTTATTGATGAATAGAGCTTACTTAAAACTGTATTGTTATAATTATTTTTTATTATTTGCTTATTTACTCTAAATTCAAATGATTCTGAAGCCGTATTATACTTTTATGTGGTGAATATGGCCTAATGAAAGGTTTTGTTATCATTATTATTACTAGTTTTTGACTTTTTATTTCCTTTTTAGTGTTTATACAGTGCAAAAGTCATGTTGGTGGTGATAAGTTTTGTCAGTATACAGCTTGACGGACCCTGTCCTCATTGAATTTCATTTTCAGCCCAAATGTTTATCAATAAAGTCACCTTTTGTGTTCCAGGAAAAAAAAACAAAGAGTCATATTGGAAGAGGCAAGAAGCTTGTTAAATGACGACAGTGTCTGTGTGAACAACAAAAAAGGTCACAAAAGGATGATCCATTGCTTTGAGGCAAAAAATGAGAGGGGGAAAAAAAATCCAAAAATGTTACGAAATGCATCCTTAATGAATAAAGTGATTCACGGACACACACACATGCATGCAAACACAAACACTGCCCTGTGCTGATTTGTTTTCAATAGAGAGTTTGTCCGCTCAGACTGTGATTAGTCATGCTCACCCAATGCAAGATATCTCTGATTTTTATTTTCTAGCTATAAATATTACCGAATAATCTTGCTAACGGACCATAAAAAAGCTAGATTTACTCACCCGATTTCTTTCTTTGGGCTTTTTAAAGGTGATTCCTCAGTGTTCTCAAATGAAGTGTGAAAGCTTCTAGGATGTTGAAGAAGGATCTAGATCTTGAGGAACCGCAGATCCTCGGTCACAGTGTAAAACCAAGCTAGATCCTTCAGTAGGAGACACCAGAGTCAGATGCACTGAAGAAACTCCTGCAAACACACACACATGCAATGAAAAGAGCCGGCCCTGAAACTCATTGGTCACATTACTCAGCATGTGGCCAATTAGGAAAGCTTGAGAGAGGAGGAGAACACCTAGAGTCACTTCTGTGTGTGTGTTTGTGTATGTGTGTATGATGAAAGGAACAGTACTTTTCTTTCTTACCCATCGTTTTCTTTCTGTTAAACTTCTATCAATTACTGTTTCCGTTTCAGGGCTAAGTGTAGTGAAAGCAGGTTTTGTCCTGTTTTTGTTAGTCAGCGTGATTCTTTCTGCATGAGCGCATGTGTTAACGATTACATAATGTGTCTCATTTAAAGGGTCACACTTTTCAGTCGCAAACTTTGCTGATGATAGTTCCATGATCACATTTAATTAAGGTTATGTTTTAGTTTGTTTCAGATCTTTCGCATAATTGCGTCACAGCATATCTCAGATTGTTTGGTCTTGTCAGAAATGTTTGATGAGGAATGTTCGAGTTCATATTGAGATCTCTGACTTTGTTGTGTTTTTTTTAAATGAGATTTGTTTTCATTCTCTGGCGTAAAATGTGAGAAGTTTAAATCTCATTTAATCTCATCAGCATCCAGGAGAAACAACAGAGATATTAATCAAGAGATCTCAATTATAAATAAAAGATCTTATGCGATTTTTGGTTATCATTGGGTTGGAACGCATTCATGAAATTAATACTTTTAATTAACTAAGTTTGCACTTTACATCATACAAAATGTCTAATAATAAGTATTTTAAATGATATATAACAGTTTTGAAGTACAAATAAATTTACATTATTAAATCAATATCAGGGTTTAACGCTAAGGATATTTTCTACTGGCCTGATCTGGCCAGTGGTTAAAATTTTTACTTGCCCTGCCAACAGTTTTTATTCAGCATAACCTTTCTTTAAATACAACTGACATTTTATATATATAAAAATCTATCTATTGAATTAATCAATCTGTTAAAAAACATTGGCTAGAATTATGTATTATAGGATTACATAGAGAAATAACAGATGAACCAGTGTTGTGCCAAGAAATGCACCCCTGCTGTATATGTCATGTCATTATCATCTGCTTCTCCGGGCCGGGTCGCAGGGCCAGCAGTCTTAGGAGAGAACTCCAGACTTCCCTTGCCCCAGACACTTCCTCCAGCTCCCTTAGGGGGATCCCGAGACGTTCCCAGGCCAGCCGAGAGACATAGTCCCCCCAGCTTTTCCTAGGTCTTCCTCGAGGCCTCCTCCTAGTGGGACTTGCCTGGAACACCTCCCTAGGTAGGTGTCCTGGAGGCATCCGAAACAGATGTCTGAGCCACTTCAGCTGACTTCTCTCGATGTGTAGGAGAAGCAGCTGTACTCCGAGTTCCTCCCGGGTGACAGAGCTCCTCACCCTGTCTATATGTCATCAAGATAGCTCTGAGCATGGCCACCGTGTTGTGAGCTCCCAGCAAAAATGTTGCATTTTGTGTGTTTTACTTGTATTTTTGTCGTTTTTCGTGCTGAATGTACACACTCTTATTACCTACGACAGAGACACACACTACGGGAAATTGGCTCCTCATTGCACATTGAAGACCGGACTTTGAGTTCTTTAATGACGCTCTGTTTACAAACACAGCAACAGAGCCCTTTGTCTGGGTCACACAACTGAAGCGACGAAGGAAACCCAGAGCCGGAAAAGAGGAAAGTGAGCTGGCGTCTTCGTCAGACTGAGACGCTGTGGGTTTCTACCTCCGCTCCCCAAAATTCTGCTGGCTACCGTTCAGTCACTGGACAACAAACTTTGCGAACTTTGGGCGCACATTTCCCTCCAACGTGTAACAAGAAACTGCAGCATTAGCTGCCTTACAGAAACCTGGCTATCTGCAGAGGTACCAGACACAGTGGCTGAACTTTCGGGGTTCTCTGTGCACAGCGGATGGAACGAAAGAACTCACAGGGAAAAGCAAAGGAGGAGGTGTTTGTTTCTTTAATAACAACTCATGGTGTGATGAGAGGAACATACACCCAGTTAGATCATTTTGTTCTTCTGATCTGGAATATCTTATGCTTCGGTGTCGGCCATACTGGCTACCAAGGGAGTTCATACCGGTTTTCATTACGGCTGTTTTCATCCCCCTCAAGCCAACACAGAGCAGGCGCTCAGGGAACTGTACGGGAGCATAAGCGAGCAGGAAACTGCTCACCCGGAGGCAGCATTTATTGTTAGAGGGGACTTTAACAACACCAATCTCAGGAAAATCGCTCCAAAATACTATCAACACAACATTACAAACACGCGTGGTGACCGGATTTTGGACCATTGCTATTCCCCGTCCCAGATGCATACAAATCCCTCCCCCGCCCACCGTTTGGCAAATCAGATCACTCTTCTGTTCTGCTCTTGCCTGCTTACAGGCAGAAACTGAAACGGGTACCACCCACCCTCAGGACGTTTCAGAGCTGGACAGACCAATCAGATTCCATACTTCAAAACTGTTTTGATCACGTGGACTGGGATATGTTCCTGGCAGTGTGTGATGATGACATTGATGTGTACTCAGACAACGTCACATGCTTCATCAGGAAATGCATAGAAGTAGTGGTCCCAACAAAAACTGTCCGTATCTACCCCAACCAAAAATCCATGGATCAATGGCGAAGTTCGAACAGCCCTATCAGTGCGAGCTTCCACCTATAAATCCAGAAATGCTAAGGAACAAAAACAAGCAAATTACAACCTCACGAAAATCATCAAAGCAGCAAAACTTTAATACAGAGACAAGGAAGAGGGTCAACTTAACACCAATAATGTAAGGCGCATGTGGCAGGGACTTAATTACATCACAGACTTTAAAAGTAACAAACCGCGGCCACTGTAAACTTTGCTGCATCTCTCCCGGACGAGCTTAACTCGTTCTACACCCGCTTTAAAGCCCAGGACAGCGCCCACACACTGCGTGCTCCCGCGGCCGAAACCGAAACCGCCAGCACTCTGTTCCTGTAGCGGACGTAAGAAAATCTTTCCGTCGCGTGAACATCCGGAAAGCTATGGGCCCAGATGGCATACCTGGACGTGTACTTTAAGCATGCGCACACCAGCTAGCGGGGGTTTTCACGGACATCTTAAACCTCTCGCTCTCTCGGTCTGTGGTTCCCACATGCTTTAAGACAGCTACTACTGTGTCCATATCGAAATCAGCAAAAACCACATGCTTGAATGACTGGCGTCCAGTTGCTTTGACACCCATCTTCAGCAAGTGCTTTGAAAAGTTGATTAAAAAGCACATCTGCTCTGTACTGCCCGCTCACACTGACCCTCTGCAATTTGCATACAGGAATAATCGCTCCACTGATGATGCAATTGCTTTCACCTTGCACACTGCTCTGTCTCACCTGGAAAACAAAAACACATATGTGAGAACGATGTTTGTGGACTACAGCTCAGCATTCAACACCATAGTGCCTGCCAAGCTGGTGGTGAAGCTCCAGGATCTGGGTCTACACAGCTCTCTGTGCAACTGGATCCTGGACTTCCTGTTAAGCAGACGCCAGGTGGTCAGAATGAACAACATTACATCATCCAAACCGATCCTCAACACTGGTGCTCCACAGGGCTGTGTTCTCAGCCCACTCCTGTACTCCCTGTACACACATGACTGTACAGCCAAACACAGCTCCAACGTCATCGTTAAATTGGCTGATGACACAACGGTGGTGGGCCTAATCACAGATAAGGATGAGATGGCCTACAGAGAGGAGGTGCACACTCTGACGCAGTGGTGTGTAAAACCACCTCTCACTCAACATCAGCAAAACCAAGGAGCTGGTGGTGGATTCAGGAGAGAGAAGAGAGAACACACCCCCATCACCATCAACGGGACACCAGTGGAGAGAGTCAGCACTTTCAAGTTTCTTGGAGTACACATCGCTAAGGATTTGACATGGACTGCTCACACAGACGCAGTGTTGAGGAAGGCAGAACAACGCCTCTTCTTCCTCAGGCGACTCAGGCGGTTTGGAATGAGCCCCCCACATCCTCCGTTCGTTCTACACCTGCACTCTAGAGAGTATCCTGACTGGCTGTATCACCACCTGGAATGGAAATAGCACCAGCAGCAATCACAAAGGCCTACATAGGATTGTGCGAACTGCTGTACGCGTAGTAGGAGGTGAGCTTCCCTCCCTCCAGGACATTTACAACAGGCGGTGTGTGAGGAAAGCCAAGAGAATTATCAGCAACTCCAGCTACCTAAGCCATAGTCTTTTCTCTTTGCTACCCTCAGGCAGACGGTTCCGCAGCATCTGGTCACGCACTAGACGGCTAAAGGAAAGTTTCTTCCCTCAGATTATTAGACTGATGAACACTTAACGCACCCCACACAGACACTTCCATACCCCTCACTGCACACCATCAATATGTAGCATGCACTGCACTTTAACCAATCCATACTTAAAACAACACTGCCTACAACTATGTGGACACCTATTCATTGTACATATTGCTGTTAATTTCACATTGTCCAGTTATTTATAAAAAAAATTTTGAGGAGTATGCTGTTGTATTTTGCACTGTCTGTATTTTCTCTGCACTGTTATTTTATTTGCACTGTCTGTATTTTATTTTCTGTATGTATTTTGCCCCCTGACACCATGCGAAGGAAACTCATTTCGGCCACTTGTATCCAAGATCTTGTCCTTTTGGTCATGAGTCATCATGACCCAAAGCTCATGACCATAGGTGAGAGTAGGAACAAAGATTGACCAGTACATTGAGAGCTTTGCCTTTCGGCAAATGCTGAAGGTCCATGTTCAATGAAGCTAACCGAACAACATCGTCTGTGAATAACAGAGATGAAATCCTGCATATATGAAATGTGTATATATTAACTTAAATTGATTTTAAAAAGGGCAGCACGATGGTGCAGTGGGTAGCACAATCGCCTCACAGCAAGAAGGTCACTGGTTCGAGCTCTGGCTTGGTCAGTTGGCATTTCTATGTGGAGTTTACATGTTCTCCCTGTGTTCGCATGGGTTTTCTCTGGGTGCTCCAATTTCCCCAACAAGTCCAAAAACATGTGTTGTAGTTGAATTAGGTAAGCTAAATTGTCTGTAGTGTATGAGTGTGAATGCGTTTGTATGGATGTTTCCCAAAACATAAGCTGGATATGTTGGTTGTTCATTCCCCTGTGGCGACTCCAGATTAATAAAGCGACTAAGCCGAAAAGAGAATAAATGAATGAATGAATGAATGAATGATTAAAAAAAATTGATAACAGAGTTATGACAACTAATGACAGTGACTGGGGTGAGTTCCATGCGTGTTTCACATTTGAAAGACGGACTGCGCTAACTGGGCAAACGAGACCGGTTCCGAAACAAATGTCTTGGCATTAAAGCACCCTGTATTTGCATGCAATCGACAAATAGTCAGTCAAATTTATCTTTAGTGACAAGGCAGCACTGGCCCGATCAGACCAATAACCATCCTGTATACTGTCCCGAGTGTCTCGCACAGACCAGCGGGCAATCCTTATTGTCGAGCCCTGAATTTAAATTTACTTGAGAAGCTAAAAGATCTAAGATATTCCTGATTGTTTATTTAATTTATTAAACTTTTTTTCTTGTTTTAAGCAATTCAATGAGGTAAAGAAAGTACTGATAAAGACATTTTTTGCTGTTACATTCTGTCTCGATACATGTTTTAAGAGAATGAAACTTAATATCTTAAGTCTGTTTTGATGTCATATAAATGTATGGTGATTTAAGACTTTACTTAGTTGTAATAAACAACAGGACAAAATATTTTTTGTTTTCAGTGTGAGATTGAGTGTCATATTTGCAAATGAGAATTGTTTCTCGTATAGGAAACTTAAAATGGGTTTTCCACATAAACAAAATACTTTAAAATATCATCAAAGACAATCAGTGTGTTGTGTTTTGTTTTTATTGTGATTTATGAACAGCTTCCTTGGGCCAGACAGGCTCATAATTTTTCTGTGCTATGGCATTAGAATACAGAATAGTTGCATCACACAGCTGATGGTCTCAGTGCAATGATAAGAAATCCAAAGCTGTTTATCGTGAACTAGATAACAGGTAATGGCTAACAGCTAGCTAGCTAGATTAATTAACTTAGTTAGAAATCAAACAGTGGTTTCCTCTTAAAACTGTTTACGTATTTGTTGGATTGTCTTTTTTCTCAACATTTATTCATAACTAAAATATCCCTATTTTGTTAATGTTCATATTTTGGTTTCAGAGGTCTCCTACAATATAGATTACTGTACAGTACATACATCCAAGTCAAACAAAACAAAAAACTTATATTACCTTATGCTATTACATTATGGGTGACAGCGGTGGCTTAGTGGTTAGCACTGTCGCCTTACTGTTGTGTACAGTTCCAATTTACTAACCTCGTGTTATGTTGGTGGTTGTTTTTGCTCAATTGACTTTCATTATAATGACGTTTTTTGATTGCAAAACCATGACACCATATACTCATGCATTCATGTTGGTGGTTCTCCCTGTTGGGAAGGTGTAAAATGTGTCAATTTTACTGTTGATGATCCGTTGGTAGCGTTAGTCCTTTAGATAGGTCTGTGTAAATAAGTTTCTGACTTGTATGTGGACTTCTATGAAGTAAAACAGCAGATTGTGTGCATAAATACACTTCTGAAAGTAAAGATGCTTATTTAGATTTTCTCTGACATATCAAGATGCATAAAGGTATCTTACATACACACACAAATGACTTCTTCCCAACAGGGAAAACCAGCAACAATCAAGAAAGCATGTTTATATGTTGTCATGACTTTGCAATCAAATATCATTATAATAGAAGTCATTGGGGCAAAAACAGCCACCAACAAAACGAAAGGGTAGTAAATTTACAGTGTATTGTTGAATTTTGGAAAATTTTCAAAGCATTTTCCCAAAATATGTGTCAAGATAAGTTGTCACCAAAAACTATTCCATTTGCTGCAACACAGAATAAGTTGTGGCCATAGTAAGACTCAATATCAACCCAGAGTGGATGAAAACATCCCCAACATCATACAAAGGTTAAACAAACAGCTGCATTACACACTACATGAAAAATAATATTGAGAAACAAATATGAAAGGCTCTTGTCTTAAAAATGTTTATCTTAACTCACCTTTGAGTCGTTTAAAACTTCTGCTGTCTTTCAGGAAAGAGTCGATCTTCCAAAGGCCTAAGGGAGAGAAAAAGATCTTTACAGTATATGTAATAAAACAAAATCATTGCATGAATTATGTTGTTCAAAAGTTCACGTACTACCGCATGCTTCCTCCTCCAGCATCAATAAGCGTCTGCTGCCTTTGATTGCAGCGCAGTGTCTCAATTGTCCTGAGGCGAAGCAGGGCCTCAACATCTTTGAGAACTGTGAGGAGAAATCAGACGTGCTGAGAATACAAGGCACAAAAAGAACTTACACCACCCAGAGGTTTCTTTGGTCAACCACTGTAATTTATAAGCATTAACGCTCATTCTAGGAACTGTTCATGGATATCTGTTCATCAGCTGTGGGGAATCAAACGAGAAACAGCCATGTTTAGTAGTAGCTATTTTGCCAATTCATTTTGGAGGAAAAAAAAACAGAGGGATGTAGGTGTTTTTGTTTCATTTTGAGTTTTTGGCAATCAAGCTGTTTTTTTTTATTTTTTATAAAGAACTGTCTACATCCATGTATTCGTAAGGCTAACATGTATGTATCAATTAATATACTTAATGCATTTAATAAACAATTATCATGGAAATCACAATTCCACAATTCCTAATAAATTAAATTATTAAATTATTCATTGTAAAAAAGTAATGATAAAACATGCAGAGACATTATAGTGAAAGAGCACTAAATTTGTACTTTTTAAAAACCTAAATAATTTATACTATGATCATTTAACACTGAGACAACTTGATGATGATGATGATGATAATATGATCATAATAACCACTACTAATACTACTACCTCCACTACTAATAATATCAGTCATATAACAATAATAATATGAACAAATAATACTACTACTACTAATTATTATTATTATTTTATTAATAATATTATAACTAAATGTAATTTTTGACAGGACTTGTATTTTTTAGCAATATTCGTTGTTATTCAGTTTGAAAAATTTTGGTAATAAAAATGATAATGATAACTACAACAACAATAGTTGTTGTTATTATTATTTGCCTATTATAACTAAAGGAAATAAAAACTAGAATGACATTTTTTAATTATTCATTATTTGGGTAATTTGAAAACAATATTTTCAATATGTTTATTATTATTTAATTATTACTAAACGAAATTTAAAACTAGACTTAAATTCATCATTATTCAGTTTTAAATATTTTGGTTATAAATATAATAATAATAATAATAATTATTATTATTATTATTATAACTACTAAAGGAAATAAAAACTAGAATGACATTTTTCAACATTGTTTAAAATTTAATATTTGAGTAATAAATTTGATGAGAACAGTAGTTTATTTTTATCGAGCAGTTCCAGCATTATGGATGTGGCATTTGCAGTAAAAACCCAAAACATAAATTCAAATAGAAATTTGTTGCTTTTATAATGAAACATCTGTTTATATTTTCCAAAACAACTAACCACAGAGTTATGGAATCAGAAAAATATCAGCAAACATTTATTATATTTTAAATCAGGAAAATAAACATGCGTTATTATGGATGTGACAAAAAAAGTATGTTAGTTTATTGTGTCGGTTTATTGTGACAAAGCATGAGTTTACAGTATATGACATACTTTGTAAAAATAAATTGTAAATTTTATTTTATTGGACATTTGTGCATTTATAAGGAAAAAGCTTTGTTATGGATGTGACACATTTCTGTTATGGATGTGACATGTGAAATTGCCGGTTATGTGACTTTGGTAAATCAAACATAATAGTTTGAAAACACTGACAAAGACATTTTGAGTATTTTTGAAGTACTGTAAATACTTGCTTACGCACACACACACACACACACACACACACACACACACACACACACACACACACACACACACACACACACACAGTAGAAATGGTTTCTCTATTTTGGTGAAAACTAAAAAATTTTTGATGGCATGGTTAACATTTGCATGGAATTACTCTTACTATTATTATGATAAAATAAATTAAAACCAGACTTAAATTTCAGTTATAATTATTCAGTTATATATTGGTAATAAAGATAATAATAATAATAACAATTAATTTTATTATTATTAATGGTCAGCATGATGGCATATAGTGGGTAGCACAATCGCCACACAGCAAGAAGGTCTCTAGTTTGATGTGCGTGTGTGGGTGTTTCCTGGTGATGGGTTGCAGCTGGAAGGGCATCCACTGCGTAAAACGTATCCTGGATGGGTTGGCAGTTTTATTCCGCTGTGGCAACCCCTGGTTAATAAAGGGACTAAGCCAAAATATAAATGAATGAATATTATTATTATTATAACTGAAGACTAGACTTTTTTTCAACATTATTCAGAATTAAATATTTTGGAAATAAATGTAATGATGTTAGTAATTTATTATTATTATTATTTTAACAAAAGGAAATTAAAATTAGACAGAATTTGCAGAATTTAAATTATTATTCTAACTAAACATCACACCAAGAAATTGCTGTTCATTTCAGGGTCTTTTTAAGTATGTTTCTCACTTAAACCTTCATTAAAAATGAGTGAGTTTCTTTGAATACCAGCAGATGGCGCCCTGTAGCCACAAACAAAATCTCACCTGTTGTAATCTGTCCTGGAAGAAGTTTGGTCAAAGAACTCTCTCTTCACTGTCACTTATTACCTCCACACAACAAATGTTTCACAGAAGCTCTAAAGCACATATTGCATAATTTATCAAAGTCAAATGTGTGAATATAAACAAACACCAATGAAAGACTGTCAGAATAGAGATGATGTGAGCAAGGAAGTCTAAATACTGAACGAAATTGGATATACAGTAACATTTAGCACTCACAGATGTACTCAAAATGTTATTTAGAACATTTAAAGGATTTGATGATTTAATATCATCCAATCAAAAACTATGAGAAGATTTAATATGTGTATAAAACTTAAAAATTGTTATAATTAGTAATTTACAATAAATCAAAGTGCTCAGATGGAAACTTCAGTAGTTATGTGCTTTAACAGCAAATAATAATAATAATAATTAGGGCTAGTTTTGATTTATTACTTGTTGACATTGTTTGGCAAGATAACTCAAACTCACATTTCCTGTATTCACTCCTATTTGGAAAATTCTGTAGCTGGAGGTGTAAAGCAGCTGATTACGGTTGTGAAACTCCTGTCCATGTACCAGTTTGTGTTTGCCTTTAGATATCATGCTTATCAAACCCATTTGCTCATCACATTCCTCATCTAAATTCACAGGCCTCTGAAATTGTGTGTGTGTGTGTGTGTGTGTGTGTGTGTGTGTGTGTGTGTGTGTGTGTGTGTGTGTGTGTGTGTGTGTGTGTGTGTGCATGTGTTCCCACAAGTGTAGCAATACCAGTCAGTTTTTAACTTTTTTGGTTCCCATGAGAAAATTGGCTCACAAATACACAGAATGAAGTATTTTGTAAATGTAAAAATGCTGATTGTTTCCTGTGAGGATTGGATTTAAGGGAAAGGGGATAGAATATACAGTTCATACAGTAAAAAATAATTATGTCTGTAGGAGGCTCTGAAAAAGATAGCTGTTCAAGTGTGTGTGAGTGTGTGTGTGTTATACAAAGAGGAAAAAGGATTGCTTAAGACAGAGGTTCTCAAACTTTTCAGCCCGGGACCCCCAAAATAACAATGCCAATGACTCGCGACCCCCGCTATTTTCGGAAGTGGTTATAATCATACAAATGTTGCACACAACACTCACACAAACCAATAGGCCTATATAAACACAAGCATATTGACAACACAAAAAAGTACAACAGTCTAAGTTTTAGTTTGTTATGTTTTATTATTATTTAATATTAACCTCACCTAATAAGTCTGGAGGGCACAATATTTAAGGTACATCACAAGTCTTTTTTTGGTTTAATTTTGGAAACTGCCACTTGAAGATCATCATCCATGTTCAAAGGTGTTGTAAAGGTGTCAGAATGTTTAGCTAGTGCCATGAAATCTGGTGCAAATGACGCTATTGCTCTGTCGTTAACCTAATGTAAAAACCCTAGGGGTTGCAATCCAATGTAACAAAACTACAAAATTACACACACACAAAAAAATGAAAGGCTGATGTTTTTTTGGTTGGATATTTTAAATTTTTTATTTAACTTTTTAAAAATCTTCTGTAGGTTATGGATTAACAATGGTAATCATAAAAGTCTATTCAAATTTATTAGATTTTTGAAAGTAACCAAGCAACCCCCTCTCATTGTCCCGTGACCCCCCAGGGGATCCCGACCCCCACTTTGAGAACCACTGGATTAAGAGGCTTGTTCAAACGAGAAATTATACATTATATTATAGCTATATTTGTGTCCACATTAACAGATAATAGTAAGAATGTAACTTTGAGAATGTACGGTTTGAGAAGTGGATGGACACAAAATGGAGGAATTATTTCTATTTAAATGCCATTTTTGAAATTTATCCGTGTAGAGTACTAGAATTATGCAAAATAGACTAATTTAATTCAGACTCACCTAAAATGTAAAGAATTGATATAATTATTTTAAAAAAATAAACTATGTGTACTGAATCACTATTTTGTAATGTTGCAATTGCACATAGACCGCAGCATAATTGATATGTAGGCAAATTATAACAGTGTTTTCATATGTTTAAAATGCCTATCAATTTTATTTAATGCAATTAATCAAAAAAAAAATATTTACATTTCTAGTGCAAAATTTCTGTGCAGGAAAATCCTAAAATATTCTGTCTGACAGAAAATATGATTATTCAAATCTGAGCAAATATACTGAATTAGTCAACTCATGTAATTTTTTTTCATAAATGTTGACGTTAAAGTTTTCTGTTGCTGCTTGGCATTTCAACGCTGTCTGAAATGATCATTTTCAGCTGTTTCAGCCTCTGCCTCTATAAATGCTCAAATTCGAAAATTAGAATGAATTCTGACTGTCAGTCCATTTATAATTAATCAACCTGAAAATTTGAATATGATTTAGCGCTGTACACTACATGGTCTCAGCATCGCAATGTTGCAATGTGCATATCTGCAATATCACATCGCAAATATATGCATTGTTGAGTCTGGATTATAGCTGATCAGGAACTACAGATTTTTATTTAATCACTGTATTTATTCAAAATTCATATGATCTATGCAAAAAACAGGGTTCATGCACATCTTTACTACTAAAATTCCATGACTTTACCATGATTGTTTCA